ACCCTGTTGGACTCACCCAACAGCAACATTACTGGTTCTCCTGGAGCACAGGTGTTTGGATTTGTACTAGTTAAAAATCATTGGCTGTCCTGCTTACTAACTTACCTTGTAAATTTTGGGAATAACACACATCCTAATCGGGTAAACGAATTCCTTATAGTGAATCTCTCTTTCTCTATTAGTTCTGTTTCTCTGGAAGACCTTGAATAATACGCATGTCACAAGACGGCTATACAGGATGTGAAACAATAAGATGAACACTTAAATTTTAAAAATGTATTGCAATAAAAGACACCTTGTCATTAATACCTCTTAAAATACTCCCCCTTGCTTGGAACACACTTAACCTATACTCTTGCTAATTTTTGAAGCAGCTCATTGGGTTCTTTTTTGTGAGTGTCTTTACTTGTACTGTCCCGCTGCCTTGTTTTTCTGAATCAATTAAAAACATTTACTTTTCATGGTAGTTTTGACTTTGGGGAAGAGCCAGAAGTTGCATGGTTCCAGATCTGGTGAATAAAGTGAATGAGGATGAACCATAATCTTTCTAGATCCTGCCTTTCCATTAGATGGCGCCCATGAGCAGTATTCACCAAATTTTTGATCATACCTTGTAAAGACTCTCAAGAAGAACTTCCAGAACTGCTTCAGAAAGTGACAAGGACAATGGAACAAGTGTGTTGGAATGGAAGGGGAGTACACTGAGTGGGATGAATTACAATGTTTCCTTTATTGTAATTTTTTTTAAAATTTTGAGCATTCACTGTACATGTTGACGAATCCTCTTATGTAAGCCCTCTTGCATTGTCTTATCCTTCTCAACTAGGAGATCTTATTCTTGCCATTATAAACTTTTCTTCCTTCACCCCTAGTTATTTCTCTCTCTGTCCATATATTTATACTCTTTCTCTGCCTAGAATATTCACTCTTTCTCCTTCCTGACAACCCCTCATGAATGGATGTTGGATTGCCACTTTCTCTCTATATTCTATACTGTACTCAACCTAGATGAACATTTTTAAACCACAGATACCCTGTCTATTCACAGCTTACATCTTTGCACATGTTTCATTGTCATTAGGAATGATCCCATTCAAATTTCACATCCTCTTATCCGCCCCCTATGAAAGGATATGAATGGATATTAACTTCATGGAGTCTAATGGATAGCTTCTACTTATTCTAACCTCATGAAGTCATTGGATAGCTTCTACTTATTCTCTTCTCTGTTCAAATTATAATCAATAACCACACAGTTCACTGTGTTACCACCTCAAGGTTTCTCTGTGTCCCTTCAGTGATTCTAGATGATATTTACTTATAATTTAAAAACTAAAGAAATAAAGAGAAAAACATTTTACAAGTAGAAAGTATACGATAAGCACAAGGTTAGGCACTTCATATCTATAGATTAAAAAAGACTTCCAAAAAGTTTCCAGTTCAAGGGGCAAACAGATTTAGATAGATATATTTATCTATCTGTACACTGTGTTGAAATATATGTTCCTGCAAAATGGTATAGGAACATAAATGATTAATACTTCTGGGAAATCATTACCTAAATCTTCATGAAAGAGATGATGATTGATTTGGGTGTGAAATGATCACAATTTGTTGAACCCAAAAGAAGGAAAAGACAGTTCCTTAAAGGAAAGTATTGTACCAAGGGAAAGAAGTGTGAATGCGTATCACCTTATTGAAGAAGGAGTTTGTGACAAGCATCTTCTAAACTTAAGCCACAGATCTTTTATTTTGCTGTGCTTGTAAAAGCCTGAGGACAGTGATGGCATTATTATGGAAGTATGTGCGCTGAGATTGTTTGTTTAGGAATTTGAGCACCATGGAAAAAGAGATTGTATAACTGTCTTTATTCTGTGCTGGGTTCCCAGATATATGGTGAGTATATTCTCATATTCATGAATAAACAGATTCCATGTGCCAGGCATTGTACTCAGCACTAGAAATTAATCAGTAAACAAGATTTTATCATGGAGAAAATGTACCCAATAATATTTAGTCTCTCAATACAGGATGCTATCACTATGAAATAAGGTTATAAATTTACTGTGAGCATTTTGATGAGATCCTTCTGAGCTGACCCCGTAATGGAGTAATTTAGTAAATTAGGATATTTTTATATGCAAGAGTCAGGACATTTCAGTGGAATGTACTGGACTGGAATTCCAGGTGCATGGTTTCAATAGAATGACTACTTCAAATTTACTTAACTTGTATTTTATGTCATGTGGGAGGTGGAAATTTGAAAATCTCTAGTCAATCTTTATAATTGAGAGTCAAAACAAAACAAAATTCAAATAAGTTTTTTTTACCTATGCTTTGAATTAGCAACAAATCTATTTAATTAGTAACAAGTCTGAATCTCAGGTTTTAGTCATTAATGGAAAGAATATTCCTCCCTTTAGTCACATTTAATAAGTATACAAATATTTTCATTTATATTATTTCATTTTGTACTAATGAATGAAATGATTAGAAAATAATTAGAAAATGCCATTTTATAAATGAGAAAAATGAAGAACCAAATGTTAAGTGATATATCCAACTTGACACAACTAGAAGCAAAGTGAGAGTTAGAAAAAGCAAAAGAGCTGGGGATATAGCTCAGTGACACAGTGCCTGCCGAGCAAGTGCAAGGTCATGAGTTAAAATAAAATAAAAGAGACAAGAGATAGGAAAGTGTCCAATGAAAACTATGATGGTGAGTATGACTGAGTCAGGGAAATGTAAATCCTCCCGAGGAGAACAAACTACTGCCTGTTCCAGGAGAGACTTCCACCCCACCTACTAGCTGTTCGAAACCCTGACTCATTATGGTCATAAATCACGATTCAGATGTATTATTTTCATACAGCAGTAAGAGGATGGCATTCGGCCCCCATGCTTATGATACGTGGGTTACAATCTCGATTCTACAAAACTTTCTGATGAAACTATAAAGTGAGTCACTATATTCCTTTAAATCTGTCAGTGAACCAATCTGCCTTCAGAAAAGCATTGCCCATGAAAAGGGGAAGGCCCTATTATTTCTTGTATAATGCTTTACACACATCTGAAAATGTTGTGTGAGTCCTACCTTCCTTTAGAAAGAACTTCTCCCGTTCTTGCCTGTTTTCTGTCTTGCTTCTTTGCCCTATCTGCTGAGATTTCATTCCTCATTAAGGAGCTTCTCAAATTCTATTTCCTTTTGTATGTACTGTGAGCCCCCATTTGTACATAATCTTTCCTCTGAATTAATATTAGCTCTTTACTTGTAATAATAATACATAGGAAGTAGTCACTATTATAGATATATATTTAATGGATGTTTAAACATATAGGGTAGTAATTTAATTTATCCTAAATTTACAATCAGAAAACATTGCAGTAAGTTTCCAAACCCAGGTGTAACTCCAGAGAACACGGTTCTATTACCACTATGCACTATTAACTTCTAACTTCTTACATTATTCTCATGTCTTGTCCTAGTAGATCATTGGAAACCGAGGGTTAAAACTGAAAGGGACCTTGGACATATAATTTTTTTCATTTTACAGATGATAAAACTGAGGATCTAAGAAAATATTTTATCCAGCTGAAATAGCTGTTAATGAGACCAATTACTAAATATGAAGCATAAGAGACTTTAACTCTTGGTACAGAGTATAAGATTCATAAGGTCAGGAAGTAGTCACTATTATAGATATATATTTAATGGATGTTTAAACATATAGAAATGTAAATGTCCTTTTAACACCAAAACCATTGAAAATACATCTTGCTCATAAACATACACTGAGAGAATCCATGTATGTGTGTGTGTGTGTGTGTGTGTGTGTGTGTGTAGATAATTAGAACACCTAGAAATAGCAGGGCTTCCATATAACTAGAAACTATTAGCTTACATATGTAAGTAAACTAAAGAGCTCAAAATATTAGTTTTGTTTTTCTTCTTTTTTAACCAGAGACCAACTAACTTCACTAAACAGAACTGATTTACAGGATTAAAGCTCACTAAAAGTGATTAAACTCAAAATGGAGCTTCAGACTAAGAACTCTTATGATAGAAAGGTATGAACCATGGGATTTGCCTCCAATTTAATGAAATGTTCCAACAAAAGAACCTAAAGGGCAGTGGGAAAAAGCAGCTTTCCTAGTATCAGTGATGTTACCGGTAGCAGCATTTCCTTGGTGCATCCTTTTCCACATTTCCCTCCACTCCCCTTTTAGAGTTTCCCATCTCTATCAGGATAAAACAGAGTATTTCGCATGGTGTGCACGGTCTTTCCCAGTCTGATCTTTCCCTGTTTCTTGATATTTATCTTTGGCGAGTTCCTAACAGTGTGCCCTGTTTTCTTGCATTCCTACCTATGTGCAATTCCTGTAAGCCAACGACACCTTTCTGGTCTTTGGAAGTCTCACGTGTTTGCCAGGAAGCACCCTTGCACTCTTCTTCCCTTAGCACTTAATTAACACCCTGTTGCATGACATCACAGCTAATTGATTACAAAACCTGATTGCTAAAATCGCCTCAGAGGTTGGACTTTCCAGGCACCATACTTTCTTAAAGTTAGAACACTAGGAGGACTAAAAAAATAGTGGAGCGGTCAGTGCCAGCAACTCTGCTCCTCCAGGGCTAAGTGCCTAGAGTCCGGGAAACAGCAGCTTGGAGGGGAACCGAAGTGAGTGGAGAGCTCACAGGGACCAGGAGGGAACTGTCAGAGGATAAGAAAATAGGATTCCGTGCTACACAACTAGCTCACAGCCAGGGACTGGATACCCTGCTGTGTAGGGGCGGGGTAGCCACAGGCTAGAAGGCAGTGACAATCACTTTTCTGCTCATAGAGACACAAAGACAGGGACTAGGAGAATCTTATGCAGTCAGAGGCAGCAGTGAGATCACGCGCCCAGAGTATCCCGAGTGACCCCCCACAGTCACAGGTCTGTGAGTGCCCGAACAAAGGCGCCCCAGGATAGAGTCACACAGAGCAGAAGTGGCGGGGGTCCTCATTTTATTTAGGAGAGAGGAGCTTCAGCCTCAGAACACTCCGTGGTGGCTTCATCTCCAAATTCGCAGAGCGGAAGGAGGGTAGGGCCGTCCTGTCCCTGTAGACTGCCAGTAGTTAGACAGCAGACTGGGGGGATTCCGCTGAAAGGGAGAGGCCAGATTGCCTAGGCTCCAGGGGCCATCAAAAGCCAGTTTTCTCCCTGCCTAAAAAGCTCACAGTGCCACACGGCTTCCGGATAGCAGACCTCTGTACCCAGCTCAGCTCTGGCTGTGGACTGCCCTGGATCTTCCTGTGCAGACAAAAGCACACCTGAGGAAAGGAGCCATGAGTCAAAAGCAATTGAAAACTTCTTTTTAACATTCTTTATTGCCTGTATTATTCCCTCATTTTTTAAATCCTTATTGTACTTTATAAACTTTAAATTTTTAAAACTTTAAGTTTTTTAAATTTCTTATTTCTTTCTTGGGGTTTTACTCTTTGCTACATTCCTCCTTCGTTACTGCCCATACTTTTACTCTCCACACCTTTATCCCATTAACACAAGTCTCACTGTTCTCTTTTACAAGTGTCTATTTGTGCTTTTTTAATTTTTTATTTTATTTTATTTTATTTTTTTTTTCCCCGAACCAGGAATCAAACTCAAGACCTCACACTTGCCATGCAGGTGCTGTGTGGCTGAGCTAAATCCCCAGCCCTGCTTTTTTATTTTAAAGAGAATAATAATTAAAAAAAAGAACAATACCAAAACACCAACAACACAGACAAAAACAAAGCAAAGCAAAAGCAATAAAAATGATACAGGTTCAGACAAAATGATAGGAATTAACAGTGGTTGTTATATTTCATACTGTTATCTTCAGTGAAGTTGCTCAGATTACCAGTTGTAAGAATGAAAGATTGAATAAACCATTAAAGAGAATAAAAAATAAAAACATTAGAAACATTACAAAGTTTCACTACACAAGATGATAGAACTTCACTAGTGGTTGTTATATTGCATATTGTTGCCTTCAAATTAGTTGTTCAGATTACCACATATAAGCATGCAAATTTGATCAAAAAAATTAAGCAATAACTGTCCCCCCTTTCAATAAACCATTACACATCAGCAGTACAGTTATCCCAGCTATCTTTCTCTCTCTTTCTCTCTCTCTCTTTTCCATTTGTGCTTTGCATATGCTTACTTACCTCTCCTGCCTCAATGCAGGTTTAGAGGGTAGGGGAACTCTCCTCCTGCGCATATATAACCCTCCTACTTTTACTCATAGGTCCTTGCCTGACCTCCTAACCTTGATTTTTTCATTTTTAATTTAACTTTTCTCCACTCTCTGCCCTTTCAATGGACTCCCTTACACTTCTTCTTTACAGTTTACATCAAGCATAGAACCTCCCCCCATTCCCTTTTCTCACTACCAGTCCGATACATAGTCTTCCCTGGTATCCCATTCTAATTATACTACAATATATCCTTAACATTAATAGGACCATTCATCCCTCTCCTGCTTCCTCCTTCCCATACCACAGAGCAGAGGACTTAGAAAGGAGAAAAAAAAGTTTTTTTCTTTGTAGTTCCATTTCTCTTCTCCTCTCCACTTCATCTCTACCCAGACCTCTGTGCCCCTGGGTGGTAGATTCTATAAAAATACTGTTGAATGTTGTTTTTTTACCAGTAGGGGAGACAAAGCTAATGCATTTGTTGTACATTAACTGTGGGTCAGGGCTTTGGTTGTTATAATGCTTACTCTATAACTGTAGATATCTTCTCTAGACTAAAAGGAGACCCAAAACACAGCTTTATGCTATATAAATTTCTCAAGTAACCCTGATAGATTCCACAGCAACGGATTAGCCTGTTACTGCTGCAGTTGAATTGATTCCACAGGAATAACGCAGACTCAGAGGACAATTAAATATCAGTGAACTCATCTGCTGACCCACCACTGCACTCCCCGGGTTCCTAACCCAAGAATTGGAGCTCAGTCAGATTCAGCAAGAATCCTTGCAACCTGGCAGAAATAGGCCCAGAGTCTAAAGTAATTCCAGTTTGCAACGAAGTGACCATAAGAGTAATTGGAGCGTGGTCACTCAGATTGTCTGGCAAAGAAGTGACTTGGGAATCACATATGCAATGGCTCATTGGAATAGCTAATCAGTGCTACTGCTGGACATTTTATTGATTTAAGATTTTGTAAGTTTTTTGAGTTATTTAGTATCTTCTTCTATTGTTTCATGTGTATTTTAGGTTTTTGCTTTGTAGAATTTTGCTCCCATTAGATCAGGTTTAATACACATCTAGGTTCTCTCTTTTACCTAGAAAATAGTCAAAGGGAATGAAGAGTAACTGCAAGGACTATCACATAGAAATGGTGTAAGATTGAAACTGTGGATACTGTTTCAAAGTGTAGCATTCTTATGGCAAAACATAGGAACAGGGATGGAATCACTTAAAGTAAATGACCGAAGTAGCAAATACTAAGATGGAAATACAAAACTGAAAATTTCTCAAGGATTGCCAACATTCTACTAAAAAGTAAAATATAACCACATTTTCTCCCCACTTCTCTAGTCCCCAGCTGGTAATAACCCCCTCAGAAAGGGGAGGAGAAAAAAAGAGGATTCATATAATTGAAATAAAAGATATATACATATAAATAAATAAATACAAGTAGGAGTGTAGGGAAACAAGGAAATAGAAGATCTCTGACCCTCCCCAACTCTCCCAAGGCAGAGTAAGAGGAGCTAAAGGGAGATAAAAACAAGTACCAGACAGCAGAAATCTATGGAAAGTTATTAGAAGGGATGAAGAAAATAGAGGAAAGAATCCAAGGAAGGAATGAGCCAAAAGTTTACAGCGATGACACTCAATATGCCCACAGGAAATTTCAAGGAAGTAGGTATAAAAACTTGAAGAGCTAACCAAGATAGTTCAAAACTTGAATGACAGATTCAACAAGAATATGGCATCTCTGAAAGATGTCAGACAGAAATACCTGAAACAAAAAGCTGTACAGAATTCATACATTCCAGAAATCACCAATGTGAAAACAAAATATCTGATATTGAGGAAAAAATAGTGGATTAGGATAAAAAGCTCAAAGAAGCCAAGAAGAAAATAAGAGCACCAGAGAAGACTGTGCAGCAGCAACTAGACGACAATGAAAAGACTCATCTAAGGCGAATCAGAGTTAGAGAAAAGCTTGACAGCTGAACAGATGGATCCACTAACATGCCTACTGAAACTATTGATGGAAGTTTCCTAAATAGAAGAGAAGTCTTTAAAGTACAAGTAAGTGATGTTTATAGAATACCAAACAATTACAATGAAATAAGGAATTCACGGCCTGGGGATTTAGCTCAGTGGCACAGCACCTGCCTGGCAAGTGCAAGGTCACGGGTTCAATTCCCAGTACTGGAGAAAAACCAAAGGAATTCACTAAGGCATATAGTCATTAAATTGGTAGATGTCCAGCAAAAAATAAAAAAATAAGAATTTTAAAGACAGCCCAAGACAAACAAACAAAAAAAATCACATATAGAGGTAAACCAATTAGAATTACAGCAGACTTCTCAACATAAATCCTGAAGGTGAGAAGAGCTCAGAGTGAAGTATCTCATGCTATAAGAGCAAATAATTTCCAACCCAGATTAATTTACCCAGCAAAGCTATCCTTCAAAATAGATGGAGAAATAAGGTATTTTCACAAAAAAGACCAGGTCAGAAGATATATGAGCTCTAGAGAAAATACTCAAGAATATTCTTGACAAAAATATATGGTAGATCACACCTGAAAACACAAAGGAAACTAGTGGGGTCAGTGGAGAAAAAAAATGAAAAAAATCAAAAAGGTAAAACAAACAAACTAACAGATAAAGAAAACAATGATAGTAAATAACCAGCACATCTCAGTAATACCTATCAGTGTTAATCACCTCAACTCTCCAATCAAAAGACACAGATTCACAGACTGGATCAAACAAAAGAATCCAACAATCTGTGGCATTCAAGAAACCCATTTAATCCAAAAAGATATTCATAGATTTAAAATTAAAGAATATTTAAAATTAAAGATATTCATAGATTTAAAATTAAAGAAAACAACATTTCATGCACCAGGACCATGAAAACAAGCAGAGATAGCAATTCTAATATCCAATACAGTAAATTTCATTTTAAAACAGATTAGAACTTGGCTATTTTCATCCACCAAGGAGCTCGGGGCCTTTCACTAGTACTAGTTAAAGGAACAATACAACAAGAAGAGATAACACTGATAAACATATATGCACCAAACACTAGGGTAGCTATTTTCACCATACAAAAACTGCTGAAATTAAAATATCAACTACTCAGCCATAAAGAAAGATAAACGAGATATTTATAGGTAAATGGATACAACTTGAGACTATACTCATATGTGAAACAAATCAGTCTCACATGTGTAAACATCACATTATTTCCTTAGTGTGAGAAACTAAAAGAGTAAATAAGGCCCACAATATACTGTAAATATTGTGAAATAGGAAGAAACTATTCAAAAGGAAAGAGGAATTAGGGTAGGGGAAGGGGGAAAAGAAGGAAGGAAAAGGAAAAATCATATAAGTTAGCTATAATGCTATTTTCACTTAGTTCTTTGAAAAGAAAGGTTTGTGCTAATATCATTTGGAGAAATTTTTATGCCCATATCTTGCACTCTGAGTACTTTGAAGATAACAATATGCAATATATTAACTATTTTTATTTTCCTGGTATTTTGTTACAAACTTTTATTTTATTTTTTCTATTAAAAGATCAAATAAATATCAATACAATCATAGTAGAGGACTTTAGCATCCCATTTTCCCAAAGAGATAGATAAACTAAACAGAAAGCCAATAAAGAAATTTCAGAGCTGAACTACACCTTTGTACATATGTTTTAACAGATATGTACAGAACTTTCCACCCCTTTATAACAGAGCATATTCTTTTCAGCATTACATGGCACTTTTTTCCAAAATACATCACATACTAGTCCACAAAGCCTACTTAGGTAAATATAAAAGAACTAAAATTACCCCATGCATAATATTTAACCACTGTGCAGTCAAAATGGAAACCAACAACAGAAGAAAATTTGGAAAAGGCAAAAGGCTCCTAGTAAATTAACAACATATTCCTAAGCAATCAATGGGTCTCTCAAGAAATCAAAGGAGAAATTAAAAAAAAGTTTTGAAAGTTAATGATGAGGGCTGTATAACTCAATAAAAACTTTGGGCTACTTTGAAAACAGTTCTAAGAGAAAATTCATTGTAATCCATATCTACATTTAA